AACTGAAAGTTTTATCGTAGATATAAGGAAGAGAACCTCCTGAGGCAGCTGGAAGAGTCTAGAGCAAGCAAAGAAAGCAGTAGACTTAACACGGCGAGCAAATTTGACTTGGGTATGAGAGGAAAGATGGAGAGAATGAGAGAAGAAGAGGAAAAGAGTAGGGGACCAAGAGAGATGAGTAAACGAGAGGCCTTGAGAGGAAACAGATGGCCAAAAATAGCAGGGTTATAAGGAGAAATGAGAAGTTAGAGGGAGAAAAACCATGAACTGAAGAAGTTCAGGCTAAGGAGTGGGGAGAGAAGATCCAAGATGCCAGCACAGATTCTGAGACATGTAATGGGTACTTGTTATACTGAGGGAACCTGGAGGACAGAATATGCCTTTGCATGCTAATGGGCACCATAAATACCCATTTGTCCCTTCTGTGAGTGATAGGAGAATCTGACATTGTTATAAATGAAAAGGTTCACAATTTCCTTTGGAATGATGGCTTTTATCTAGCCACAAGAATTTGGATCTGACATTTCTTGTCTGGGTGCTTGTGCAGGTCTTTCACATAGACACAGGTGTGTGGGGTCCTTTTCTCTTATTCCTTATGTGTAGGTAGGTGAGGGATTAGCATTTATCTGTGTGTTCTGCTACAGTTGAATGTTCAGATCATCCATATTTTGTCACACTGTGGCATGCATTCTAACTCAAAACTTTTCTTCTTTTTACTTTGAGGTATTCTGAAGACCAGGTTTCAGAAGTCAGTTCAATGACATTTGTTCTAGGTAGCAAGAATGAGCCATTCAGAAACCATTCCCTCTAAAGATGCCTAGCTACTGACTCGGTATATGAGGTTTTTTTTAATGCCATCTTGCCACAGATGCAGTTAACTGTTGACAAGTGAAGGATATACTGTTGGCCAGCAAGAATTTCCTGTATGATATTTTTGATGTATATGATGTATGGGCTCTAGGATTCTTGTCTAGTTGAACTATCAACTGCTTAAGAATGAATCTGCTGTTGATTGTGGTTTTGAGTTTCTGGCCCATTCCTGACTCCTTTGGTCTCCACATTTTCCTCTTTATGTAGAGAGGAACAGTATGTGTCAGCCAGATTTTATTTCCTGCGATATCTCTCTCTCTCTCTCTCTCTCTCTCTCTCTCTCTCTCTCTCTCTCTTTCCCTGCTTGTCTCCCTCTCTCCCTCTCCCCTTCCTTTATTTCTCCCTCTCTTCTATTACTACAAACACATAACTATCTAGACAGTGTTTTTGTTTTAAGCTTTGGTTCCCACTTTTTGTAGTTTCCTTCAGTCTGCACTGGGAGCAGAACACTTGGCCTTCAGAAGTGAACTCTGGATTGTTTCACTTTTATCTACTATTTCTAAATTTTCTTTCTTTCTTTGTTACTTAAGCTTAATGTCATGACCAAAACAACTGAAGACAAATGGATAACTGTGGTGCCTTTTAAGCACCAAAACACCTGATGGCTTCTAGGATCTCTCAGTATCTACGGTTCCTCTCAACTCTTCTCACTTTGCTTCCTATCCTAAACTCCAGCCTATTAGCTTCTCTTCCTTCTGTTTCTCATTCATATACATAACCCTTCCATTTCAGCCATGCATGCTTTTGACTGTCTCCTGACTCTTGGCTCTCTCTTAGTCCTCTTGATCTCTTTCTCTTGATCCTCCTCTCTTGCTCTCCCTACCTCTACTCTCATGGTTCAGTGTCCTGGTCATGTCTACTCTATTTTTTTCTTTGCTATGGATTATCATTCATGAGCAATTTATCCTCTTGGATACATGAGTGTTAGCTACTGTCTACTCTCTCCTTAATTAACTTAAAATTAAATTTAGTTACAAATAAGAGCTTGTAGCTTTTGTTATGTACCTTAGTTCACAAATCAGAGCTAAGACAGTTCTCTGTGAAACATTGGTTCTATGTAACATTTTTCCTTACAACATGTCCTCAGTTGTACCTTTTGTAATGTTTAATTGTTACTTAGAAAAACTAGATCAATCAAGATATCACTAAATGATACAGTAGTACCACTGACATCACAAGAGCAATCAATAGCTAATTGGTATTAAGGCTGAATCAATAGGAGGGTATTTCTACCTGTTATTGAAAACCTAGCCAGGAACGAAGAGAGGTCTTAGAAAAAAAACTTACTATTGCTATTTTACTAAATTAATACAGCTTCCAACTATATGCTAAATATTTGTCTTTAAATACCCATAGACGAGTTCAGTTCTCACCCATCAGAAAAAAATTTCTCTTTTTACAGCAGATAAAGGCTATCACACAGACACACAATTGGTCAACATGCAAAGAAAAAATGATTCCAGTATTCTCAGTGTGTGTGATACTTATACAATACAACCTCTGTGCCCAAGTCTCAAAGAATATCACATAAGTGGGAAGAAATAGTTTTAAAACCCAGAGAGTCAGAATACCTATTTTGAGATGGTTTCTTTTAGACAAGATTGGGTTGATGTTCCTATACATTTAACAATATGGTTACCTGCACAAGAACTTGCCAAGGTGACACCAGATCACGACAATGTAAACTGGGGGAAATTTCACAAAGCCCTATGCCTAGATGAAGAGTTAAGGCAGTTGGTGGCTGGGACAATCAATGTCTTCAGAGACCAGCCTTCTGATAGGTCTTCTAATTCTAAGTGGTCAGACACATACATATGTAACAACATTAATTAGATTCAGTAGGTTGTGAGTGTGCACATATATACACATATGTGTATGTATAGAACAATAATTATAGAGGAAGGAGACAAGAATTAGAGCAGGAAGAACATGGGAGGAGTTGGAGGTGAGAAAGAGAGGTGTAGATATTATTCGAATACAATATATTAATGTATGAAGTTAGTGATTTAATTAATTAAATTTAAAAATGAAGATAAACGATTTTAAGTAGGTAAAATTAAAGATGGATTATCATAAACTATAAGTTCAAAATTGATAAGTAGAAATAAAACAAACAATTGTGCATATAAACTGTGTATGTCACTGAGTGCCTTCAGCATTTCAGTCTCTTGCCTCTACTGTGTGAATTTCACAGCTGAGTATCTCAGGACTCTTTATCTGTTTCTAGACACTAGCTTGGCCCAATAAAGGGTATCTGGTCCCCTTTAAATATCTAAGTAAATACGTAGTTTCTCATGCCACAGCCAACAGGGATTACCCTCAGTATATATTTTATGAGTTAAGTTGTATAATTATCTCTTAAAAGGTACTTGGATAATAATAAAATAGATTTTGAACCTGCAAACAATTGTGAGTAAAAAGAGTTAAAAAGTAACACAATATGCTTATTACTTAAATAATAAGACATATACTACTTTTAACTTTTGCAGTTTTGGCTATCTACATTTTTTATTACTTTATTATAAGCCTCTATTTTATAATAGCTTCACAAAAGATAAAAAAGAAAAAAATTCTTCTATCAGATTTGATTAAAATTTGTATCTTGTTAGCAAAATAATGGAAAAGTCATTTCAAGTTCACCATGATTTGTAGTGTCTGTATGTTTTTATTATTGTCAAATTTTTGAAAACTTCTGTCAAATTTCTTTGATAAAATGAACAGCATTTCAGAGCATTAAGGCCTTGTTACATGATTAAAGACTCTGAATTGAGGGTTCGTAAATTGTTCTGATATCAGTGTCTTTCATGGAGAAGGGTCCCAGACTAAAGAAAAACCAAGTGAGCTCAGGAACATTCATCACTGCTTGCTGTAGCTGCTCCTGGGGCTGTTCTTCCCTGATTGACAGGCTCTGTCTTTGAGAGCTGTGAGCAGAAATAAACCTTTCCTTCTGTTAGGTTAGCAGCTTTCTCGGGTATCTTGTCACATCCACAAGACAAGCAACTACTACAATGAGTTATTGGCAGTTGAATTCCCACATATTTAATGGAATTGGAAGCAAGTCATCAAGAAATGCCCATCTGTATAGATTTGGGATATTAGACCATTGGGTTGAGTATCTCATTCCAGTAAATTCTTTTGGCCTTAAGGAAGAGTTTAAGTGCCCTGTGCCCAATTAACTCATCTATATGCTTGAGGTAGAACAGCTTGCCAAACTCCACACAACCCAACGGTAGTGGCCCTACTTGTACTATTTTCTAGCTGGAATCTATCATTAACATGTACAGGGATAACTACAAATTGTGCCATATTCAAGTAATTGAATATTACATAGAATGACAAATGAACAATCAGGAGCCATGTCCAGCAAATATAATTCTTAGTGAAGGACTCTACATAAACAAAGGGATAAATTGCTTCTTACACACCTACATATATATGGCAGGTAAATACAGTCCATGTTCTTAGAGACACTGACAGTGGGTGGAGGTCTCAGAGGGTACCAAAGTTAGCAGATTGGGAGTTTGGTATCCGCCTGGGTTCTGCATCAATTAAGCATGCTGCAGACACTTTTTCACACCTCTGTATTTCTTGCTATACAATACCTCAATGAGAAGTTAGAAAATTAGCATTTCAAGTTGATGGATTTTTTTTTGAGGTATTCATTTATATCTAAGGAGACACAGACTGGTTGCCTCACACATATAAAAAGAATTTCTTGAGACACTCACTTCATAAAATTTAGAAAACCAATCCCATAATCACCATTCCTCGGCATGACAGTCTTGACAATGTTTCTGTACTACGCATGGGTGTTGGTCTTGAAAACACTGCCTAACTGAAGCTTCCTCAATGATTTTTAAATGTGCCTTCATTGCTTTCTGTTCTGTGGTTTGTACATGGCAGAACACAGTTTAAAGGATTATGAAATCCAGCCCCTGCTCACATTTCCAGAAATGTGAACTTGTTTCCAAGCAAAACAATCTGTGATTTACAAGAACAATCCAGCAGGTCACAGACAGGGCACAGTAACAGAAGAGATCAAACGCCCATGCTGCTGGACTTGTGGTCTACCCTTTTAGTTTACTTTGCAGAAGTTGCTCATGGGAGGAGCATCTGGCAATCCTGATTTCCTAAACTAACTTTCAACTTCCCTTTGGGGCAAGTCTTTCCCTGCCGTGACCACAGTTCTGAGCAGAGAGGAACTGGATGGTATGGTACACACTTCTCTTCGAGTCAATTGGTCCCAGATAGATCCAAAACATGAGACTGTCGGCAAAAATTATTTGGCTTATATTATGGACTGTCTGTGTGGCAGAAGGTAAGCTTAAAACAAACTTTATCCTGTCTGGTTGAGACGCATTATAAAACATTTGCAGATAATATTTCTCATAGCAATCATTCAAATTAATTCTAGAAAATGTGGGTAATTACTAGTCTGTAACTTAGTGGCTTTTGGTGGTAAGTTTAAAAACTGTGAATCGTTCATTTGACTGTCGTAATTGATAGTTTGGTTTAATGTAAAACTCAAAACAGTGCTTCAAACATGTTTTTGCAATCCATAATTAGGCATACTCATTTAACTTGGAGTTATCATGAAATACAGGCTCCTCTTTTTTTCACGAGTGTCCCTGAAATACTTTATGTAAAACTAGTAAGTAATATGTAAATATCTAAACTTAATGAAAGCATTTACTTTTTTATAAGTGGATTTATTTCAGGCATATTTCTTTTTTTACATTTTAATATTGGATATTTTATTTACATTTCAGATGTAATCCCCTTTTTCCATTTACCCACCCACCCAGGAAACCCCTATCTCATTTCCCCTCCTCCTGTTTCTATGAGGATAGGCCCCCACCCACCGTCTCACTCCCACCTCCCACGATTTCCCCCACACTGGGGCGTCCAGTCTTCACTGGACCAAGGACTTTCTCCCACCTATGTCAGGCATATTTCTAAACCTTCCTAAATACATTACTTAACTGATATTGCCACAGCTTCAAAAGTTTTGTACACAGAACTGCAAGTATGAGATAAAAAGTTTATAAAATTTGACACATAACCTGTACACAGTATTGGAAGGATCTGATTTATTTGTGGTTTTGTTTTCTGTGAGTATGTGTGGGGCATATTTGCTTCTGAAAGGCATTTTGAAGTAGGTGATATGAATATTGGAGTTCTTCTTTTGTGACAACAACAGAAATTCTGACTTTATTGTTCACTTAAATTTTACCAAAATTGCACAGTTTATCCAGTGAAGGGAGTTTTACTTTCCTAGTTTATCATAGGTAAGTAGTTATGTGATAAACATTTAATTAACTCTTCTTTGGGTTTTGATTGTTTAAGACAGGATGTCACTACACCCTTGAACTCACTGTAGTCCTCCTGACAGTCTCCCATGGGCTGAGGCTACAGGTGGGAATGATTGTCATTCCTGACTTAGCACTTTTCATACTAAGTGAATGACGTAACTTTAGTAATTTTTAAAAAAATGTTTCTCTTAGCTAATGATTAGTATTTTGAGGCGTTGCTATAACCTCTTCTCACTAAAGAATACTAACAAACAATGGCTAATTGGATATTTACCAATCCAGATAAGAAGAGTAGATATAATTTCTCATTTATATCTTTTAGTAAAATTCTAAAAGAAAATTAAGGATATTTAATACTTTTTGAGAGAGTAAACTTTTTCAGTTATATTTTCTAGTATTATTCCTTGAATTTTGGCTAATGAGTCTTACGTTCAGACTAAGGGAGTCATTTTCTTATATATGAAAATATAAGTACTCCTAAAATGAAATACGATTATGTTGGCTTGGAATTCTAAAGCAATATTGATATTACTAAACATAACTCAACTTTTTACTTTGTCAAAGTCAATGTTTTCATCTTTATTTTAATGTTCTACTTGAATAATAATGTTTACTAAGAGGGATTAAAGAAAGAACTATTTTATTTCTAGCTAATTTTTAAATCTTAACTGATGCAAATTGACTTAAGATGTTTACCTAATTACAAATCAGAATTTCAATATTAAAAAGGACGTGCCATGATGTTTACATGATGCTTTAATGTTAATGATTTAAAAATCCTCATTTATGCTGTGGATATCAGCTGATTTTTTGTTATTGATGGATTTGAATTTCCATCAGTATGTATTCAAATGTGGTGCCAGTTCTTGCAGATGAGTTGGGCAGTTACACTGTATACACTACTGTTTCACTGGCTGTCCACTCAGTGACGAAGTGGGGGTTTAGTGTTTAAAGCATTATGTAGGGTAACCTCATGATATTCATAAAGTGCATGTAATACAGAGACAGATGTAAGAAGTTTCATGCATTTTCTTTTCACAGACACAGTATTCCCACTTTAGTCTTTGCTTGGCTTGTAGCCTGTGTCTATTGCAAATGTAAATAATTTAATCAGTCTATCAACTTAACAGAAATTTCACTAGACAGAAGGGCTTGGATCAATTAAAACAGTTATGTATAAACTTCAATATTTGCTTCTGTTTCTGTTTCTCACATCAGACACTGGCTATTATGCTGATTTTAAAAAAAACATGTTTGTGAAATGCTATCATATTAGGTTTTCCTAAACAGGGAAGAAAAGATTTTCTAAGTCTTTTCTGCCCTGATAAAGCTCAACATTCTTCTAAAACCAATATAAACTGGGCCAGCAGATAGGGTAAACACAATGATGATCTTGCTTGCCACAGAACCTGGCTACTTGAATTCAATCCATGGACCCCATCTGGTGAAAGGAGGAAAAAAGTCTCCTGCAGACTGCGCTCCAGTTTCCTCATACAGACATGGCAGCTGTCTGTGACATCCACCCTAATTAAAAATAATAATAATAACCTTAACAAAAAATTTAAAAGCCAATATTCATAATTAAAGAATAGTAACTTCCTTCCTTCCTTCCTTCCTTCCTTCCTTCCTTCCTTCCTTCCTTCCTTCCTTCCTTCCCTCCCTCCCTCCCTCCCTCCCTCCCTCCCTCCCTCTTTCTTTCTTTCTTTCTTTCTTTCTTTCTTTCTTTCTTTCTTTCTTTCTTTCTTTCTTTCTTTCTTTCTTTCTCCCCTCCTTTCTCTTTCCACATGCCAAGGGCTTCCTCATGTCTTTTTAGTGCCGTGCTTGCTTGCGTTCACACTCCTAGCTGCCAGGAACAGTAAATATCGCTTCTTGCAAGACCACATGCTGCTTAGAATTGGGTCAGATTTACAGGACAACCTGTAACATAAGAGAGTTCCTTGGCTGAGCTGTGTAATTTCAGTTCTGGGGAATGGATTATACCTAAGCTTTCCAAGCATGCATTTTACTCTCACAATTGGATATTGTATGAAATTAGGCCACAGCCCAGAATTGCTAAAATGAACCAATTAAACCTGTGCTGAAACAAAACCAAATAACTGCTGTGTGCTTTCTGGGGAGATAAGTGTTTTCTAATCCTGGAGGTTTAAAAGGACAAAAATGTCCTTTCAGGCTTAGAGACTTTAATCATAGAATGGAGAATTGGTTTAGTTTTATAATGTTTCATTTTAAATATATGACATTTTCAAACAAAAACATTGACCCAGAAAAATTGATTTTATATATATTAATTATGAATTAATAATAGTTGCTTTTGGGGAAGTTTAGAAAAAAGTGAATAATATTTTTATTTAAAATGAGTTTGTATCATGTCAAAAAGTCAAATGATTCGATATAAGATATTTCTACTTTTTCTTAAGAAAAAGAATTAAAATGGAATGTGCTTTTACTTTTTCCTTCATTCTGTGTCAAAAGTTGAAAGCAACTGATACTGTAGGGTTCACCACACCTTAACTGAAAACCCTATCTGCAGCTTTTCCTCCAGCCTTAGCCATATTTCACATGCTCCAAGTGACTGGATGAAGAAGGATCAAACAAGTTGGAATATACGAATGTTATTTATATCACTGTGTATGTATTGTCACATACAGTGTTGCAGAAACAGAGTTCTGCTGGTAGTATCACATCTCTGCTTTGTCTTCACCTTACTTTAATTTTTTGAGACAGAGTCTTCCTGTATGGCCCAAGATAGCCCTTAAACTACTGGTCTTCTGGCTTTAGCTTCCCAAGTTCTGAAATTCAACATCAAGAACACCTTAGGTACATTTTTTTGTTACCTTCATTCAACTAAATTGACAGAGATAGCTGGCCCTTCCTTAGAAAAATGGAAAAAAAAATATCAGATTGTCAATAACCTTCTAAAGAAGCAACCTGTAGTTTTCTTTTTTCAAGAGAGAAAATAAAAAACACTAAAAATGAAAAGGTCAATCTTTAAAACATACATATAAGTAATATATATACTGAGGACATTATATTTAGAAATATATATGCATATAATAACAATTATAAAAATAAGTGGCCATGAGTTGAAGGAAAGTAAAAGAGATATGTGGGAACTTTTAGAGAAACAAAAGAAAAGGGGGAAATGATGTTATTATATTACAATCTAAAAAAAAACATAAAAAAATGGGGATAAAAAAGAAATAGAAATTTCTGTGATAAACTAAAAAATAATGTGTGGATTTACAAAAGGAAGATACATGTCTGCACACCTTCAATGCCTTCATTAACATAGAAAACCAGTTTTGGCAGCTTGCCTTTATGCTCCTTTATCACACCAAAGATTTATAAACCTGTCACAGAATAAGCCAGGACTTAGATGAATGCACATTTTAAAACTTTCTTGTATTTCAAATTATAATAAAGAGTTGGATTTACTGCTGCAGTCTCAACTGTGAGTATCATAATGTTTTCAAAGCCAGAAGACATCTAAAAACTCTGAAGTCAACTATCCTTCGTATTTGGCCTTTTTGTTTGGGGCAAAACTGAAGGAATTCATGATGACAACCAAACCACCCAATGGCACCTACTAGCAACGCACCGAGTTTACATCTAAGCAAACAGCACAAACCCATTGCAGTTGCTTTGATTCTCCCCTGAGACAAAACTGACATCCTCAGAGCCTCCCTCTATTGAATCTCAGAAGTGGAACAGTAATCCTTTTCATCACAAGCCACGGAGGCAGTGCATAAATAGATCTCCACATTTCTCTAAGGAATGTGGCTGATTGAATAATCAGGTGTGTGACATAGACAACAACATAGAAATTCTTCCTTGAAGCTTGACTTCAGAATTTTGAGAAGAGTCTAAAGAGATAAGGTCAGAAAAACATGCACCCTGTTTGATAAGGTTCTTCACATGTCTAGCATACTTATTAAGCTTCTCCGAGGTAGTCTCCAAGGTCCCAGAGGCCAGAGGTACAGTTATGCCACCTTCTTTCACATTTGCT